GGGGGGGGGGGGGGGGTGTAGCCTAGTTTGGAGCACTGCTGTACCCCCTCCGATCCAGGCAACCTGCCGTGCCGGTTTAGAGCCGGGGGGTACACAGCCCTTTCGGCCGTGGGAAGAATCGAAGTCGGGCGACGGTCGGGGCGCTCATCTTTCGTTCGCCCCGATGCGTCCGCTGGCAGCGGCGCCGGCGGGAGAGCCGGTGGTGATGGGTTCTGTCCCGCCTGCGCTCCACCAAAGCACGTATCACGGCTGGAGCGGAGGAGGCGGCAGGATCATCTGGCGGGGGGTGGTGCTGGCGGAATTCTCGCGGACCATTGGAATCGGCGGGGGATGTGGAAGGACAAAGGTGCATGGCTGTGACCGTGGTGTTGGCGTTGGCAAGGGAGGGGGGGAGGGGGTGACGCCAGACGTGATGAGGACGCGGGGGAAGCGGGACGCGGGGGGGCGCCGGGAGCGTTTGCCCCCGCTTGTCACAAGCAGGACGACATCGTGCGGTCTCACGTAAATGCTAGGATTGCCCGCATCGTTTTTTTTTTGTCGCGGTTCGTGGACGCAGGCAGCTCTCTTCTAGTTTTGGTTGACGCTTCGTACGCTGCATGCGTAGTCGTGGCGTGCGTTGGCTCTCTTGGCACGGTGTGTTTCTGTTGGATCTCTCGGTGTTTGCCTGTGTTTTGTTGCGGACGACTGAATGAGCTTTTGTAGCAGATGAAATGGTCGTGATGGTGATGCTAAACAGAGAGGGGCCTTGCAAATCTTCGTTTTCCAATAGATGATGTTCGCCGTACACGGAAGCTGGAAATTTGTTGATAACGTGGACTCGGACGTAATATTAAGACCTGTGCCGGGATGGAATTTTTCCAAGGGTGATCGATAGCGTTTAACTGAAATTCGATACACAGTATGTTGTCAGGAGGATGATTTTTATGTTGACAGACTGTCTGAGGGATGATAGTAATCGTCAGAAGATTTGAAAGATTTCGTGGAACGTGTTTGTTTGGCTGATCAACAGATTTCGTAGAGCATTGTCTTTTTCAGAGGGAGGTTTGTTGGATTGGATACGAATGCTGGATAGTTGATGGTTTGGGCTTTTGCCTGGCAGTCGTGTTGAGGCGAGGGGCTGTTGGGGATGCCCGACAGAGTGCATCTTCTTCGTCAGAGACCGAAACAGAAAGGAGTCTTACGATCCACGACCATTATTGGTTGGAGGGTGGCTTGGGGAGGAAGTCAAGAAGCAACAAGGACCTCGCTTGTCATGCCCGTATCATCCACGTACCCCCCCCCTCCCCCGAGGCCCTGCAGATCAGTGCTCTACACCAGATGTTTTCATGGGAAATGACTTGTGCGGTACGCCGTTGGTTGTTTTTCAGCATTTTTTTTTAAATTTCTCCGCGTCCATGGTTAGGGTGGCGTTGGGTCAAAGTCGCGCGAAGAACCCTCCATCTCCTCGCGCTTTTTTGTTTCAAAGTTATATTATGTTTTGTGTCTCTTCACACACCCACACCCACAACCCCCCTTGCGTGCGCTTTCCACCTTGCTGTTCTTCACTACAGACAACAAATTCAGCAGCTTTCAGCGGCAGTTAAACCTCTACGGCTTCCGCAAGATCGTAAAGGGCCGCGAGTCTGGATGCTATATGCACCCCATGTTCTTGAGGGATAGACCCGACCTGCTATCAGAGGTAAGTGACAAAAATCTTGCAACAAAGAATAGTAATGTTGCGGCTTCTCTGTTGAATGCATGTGTTAATTTCATGTGTAGCGTATGCCATGTTCTTGTTGGGGAGGGGGCGCTTCTGAGCGGTGCGTCAAGTCGCAGTGTTTTTTTTTTCGCTTATTTTGCATGCTTGGTAAATACAGTACTAGAAAAACTCCAACATGCGAGAGACTACCACCCGTTTGAGACAAATCCCCCTCCTATGCATCACGAAGTGTTGTTACACATATATTTTCCCTTTTCCTGTTGTAATGTTTTCTCTCTTTTTTCTCCAGGTACGACGAGGGATTGTCCCGCCGTGCCCACCGGAGTACACCAGAAAAGTGTACGGCAGCGGACCGCGATTCATGAACCAAGACGATGAGACAGACTCTGAGCCGGAGCTTGTGATTCCGTCGAGAGGCAACAGGGACAGGAGTCCTGAGGTGGGTGTGTTTTGCTACATGGCTGGCATCGACCATGCTATCTAGTCAAAGGCGTCAGCGGGCCGCAACACGCTTGTGACGTAATAGTGCGTGTGTCAGTGACGCCAGCCGGTTTGTATCTTTAGACCTGCAATGCCTGTACAATATACCATTGAGTGCAAACCCCCCCCCCCCCCCCCCCCCCC